GGGTTACAATGGTGTACTTGTAAGCCACCCAGCACTGACTACTGCAGAAAAACACCAGAAACTGAGGATAGGCAGAAGACTCCGCTAGGAGCGTACAGGAAGCACGTCTCTGGCTTCACAAGTCAACAATTTTTAAATACCCATTTGTGGTACAGAGCAGGGGAGTGGATATGAGGTCTGTGTTCTTAGGTAATGAGCTTTTAAAGCCCAGTGTACATTCTCTACACTACAGCAAGTAGGGTCTGATAGGAGGACACAAGCAGATGACCCTGTCTTCTTCCTTACAGTGTGGTTCTCAACCTTCTTAATGCTGCCACCCTTTAATTCAGTTCCTCGTGTTGTGGTGACCCTCTCCTCAAAAAGAACAAAACAAACCCCCCAAAAAACATCAAATTATTTTTGTTGCTACTTCACAACTGTGATTTTACTACTGCTATGAATAGTAATGTAAATATCTGTGTTTTCTGATGGTCTTAGTTGACCCCTGTGAAAGGGCCATTCGACTCCAAACCACACAGGTTGAGAACCACTGCTGTAGATGCTCTGGGAACACAGTTTTGGAGAATGAAGATAGCTCTTCATGGAGGGTAGAGGATCTTAGGTAGAGGTGCTGGTTGCCAAGACAACATGAATCTGATTCCCTGAACCCATATGGTGGAACAGAACCTCCACAGGGACACCATGGCATGTGTTTACCAACACACACACACTCACATCACACATACACACCACACACACACCACACTACACACCACACACACATACACACCACACACTCACATCACACATACACACCACACACACATACACACCACACACACACACACTCACATCACACATACACACCACACACACCCACACTACACAACACACACACATACACACCACACACACACACACTCACATCACACATACACACCACACACACCCACACTACACACCACACACACATACACACCACACACACACACTCACATCACACAATACATGCATACCCCCACACTACACACACACACACACACACACACACACACACACACCCCACATACCTCTACACACACCAAACACCACACACTATACACACACAAGTAAATGAATATAAAAGTTGTGAAATTAAACAAACAAACAAAAAACCAGTTTGTGTTTATGACAGGAAGGAAACGGTAATCATTGCATGTCTGTAAGAGGTCACCCAGGGCAGGACCTGTCAGCGCCAGCTCATCTTGGATAAGGAAGTCAGAGGACAAAATGTAGCTGACAAAGCCCAGCGAGACTATTGTGAGGAAATCAGACACTTCCAGACTTCCTTCTGTTGCTGTATTAGTCAACAAGCCTGTCTGTAGATGGATGACTGTTTGAGGAGCTGGGCCACTGCAGGCTGAGGGTTCCGGTGGAGTGATATGGCTCTTATTTAAGTACTTCGTTGCCCTTGGATTCCTCCATGGCCTACAAAAGACAAGCAATGTCAAATTTACATTTGATGGACTAAATGGCTTCTTCTACAACTGGACCTATGCACTGAGTTCTGGATGGTCTACTTAAGGAGAACACAGGAGGCCAGGGGATGTTTGAAAGGGAGTGATTATGACAGTAAATTGTGTAATATGTGAAACTGGTGATCTTTAGGGAGATACCCGAAACAATAAAGACCCAAGAAAAACAGGGTAGCCAAGAAATCATGAGTTTTTCTTTACCAGAAGGTAAGTGTCAATCAATGAATCAGGTGATTAAAAGATTCCCTCCATCTGCTTGAGGAAAACTTCCAAGAAAAGCCCCTGTGATGAGACTTGACAGCAAATCCCTATGAATTAATGTATGAAGCTAGCAAAAACATACACACCAACTTCTACAAAAACCAGATATAAATAAACATACAGTCAAGCAATTTTGAAAAGGAAGAGCACATGTTCCTTTTGTTCAACTCTACTATCCATGAAGCTAACTGACAAGGCTTTATGCATTGGTGTAGCCACGATGAGCAACCCCGTGGCAATGAGGAAACTGGATGGTGGAGTAGTGTTGACTTTTCAACTGACCGGTACAGATCTTGCTGGACCTGGGATCTGCGGACGGACTACAGTGTGATGCTCCAAACAGCGTTACTTCGGTCCCAGTGTACTTTTGCACACTAATGAAACAAAGAAAGCAATAATACAGGGATGGTTATTGGAGTTCAGAAAAAGCATGTAATAAACATTAATAAGCACACACTAAACTTTATCAGAGCAGGTCAACTGAAACACAATTGCCTGGCAAGCACTATAGATTATGTCTGAGAAAGCACAAAAGGAAGGCAGAAGGCCATACCCAGATTCAGGCCTCAATGGGTTCTATAGCTGTACTCTGACTCCCAGTAAGAACAAACATGTCTTATAAATTGAAAGTAAATGTTTAACACAGGAGGCACCACACCACATCCAAGAACAATCGCAGGAACAAAATGCACCTGAGGTAAAAGGCCTTTTGCCTTTCCCCTGGAACCTCTCTCTCAGTTCCCCAAGGCATTGTGTACCATGCATCAATTCTTTTGACCGTGTTCTGACAGAGCAGAGCACCACTGATGACAGAGAACTTGGCATATGATGGAGATAGTTCAGTGGTAGCATGCAGCTGTCCTGAGGGAACCAGTAGAGCTGATTGGAAGATTTAAACATATAGAAAAGTGGAGGTGGATAAAAGAAGTCGATTCGAGCACTAAACTCTTTGTGCTCAAGGTTCAAACCTAGCATATTTCTGGTAGGAAAACAATCTATCACCGAACAGTTTCTACCCCCCCCCCATTTTCTTTTAACTTTGGGGAAGGTTCTAAATTAGCCATGCTGGCTTTGCCTTTGGACTAGCTCTATGGCCCAGGCAGGCTTTGAACCTGTGGTCCTCCTGCCTTATCCTCCCAAATAGCTGGAATTGCAGGCCAACCCCAAGAGGCCCCCAAAGAGAAAATTTAAATCAAACAGAAGAAAATGTAGAACACACTTGTGATCTGGGGAGCGGGTGAAACTTGAACTTCCAAAGCTTATTGTGAAAATTACCCAGCTGCCCACTTGTAAATTAAGAATTTTGAATGATAGCACACACAAAGCTATCTGATTTCTTGACAAATTAAGAAAAGTTGCTGGATGGTGATGGCACATGCTTTTAATCCCAGGTGGATTCCTGTGAGTTCCAGGGCAGCCAGAGCCACTGTTAACATAGAGAAACCTTGTCTTGTCTTGAAAAACTGAGAGGGGGGAGAGAAAGAGAGAAAGAAAGAAGGAGGAGGAGGAAAAGGAAGAGGAGGAAGAGGAGATGAAAAGAAGAAAGAATGAAGGAAAGAATGGAAAGAAAGATATGTGATTTCCAATGTCAGCATCAGTAGAGGCTAACACCTAGGCCATACAATACAAATGATGCCGTGTCCAGGTGGAGTGCTAACACCAGGATTGAAGATCCTTGACAGGAGGACCAGGAGTGCAAGGCCAGCCTGGAGTAGATACCAAGATTCCACCTCACATAAATAATTGTTTTAAAAAACCCTGTAACTGTATATTTAGATTATATCAGCAAAACATAGTAAGTATAGAAAATATGTTTGGAAAAGAGCCATCAAAATGGTTCCGAGAGACTTTGGCTTCTTGATTTATTCATTCAATATCAATAAATATAATACATTTATCCAACCAATAAAATCAGTGTTTATTTCATATTGGGCTATTCTAAGTATTGAAGGTAGAGGGAGAAAGAATCTCTGCCTTGAGATATAAGAATTCTCCTGGATGTTTTTGTCTTCAGAAGTATAAAAAAATTTACTTCTGCTATATGGGTTTCCTTTTGAAAATTATAACCATGTAATTTTGTAGCTGGGAGAACACTTAGTTGTATTCTGGATTCACACTTTTCAAAATATTTATTTTGCATTGGGGGTGGGTAATGCATGCACTAAACCGTGTGGAGGTCAGAGGTCAGCTTGCAGGAGTCGATTCTCTCCTACCGTATGGGCGCTGAGGGTCAAACTCGGGTCACCAGGCTAGGTGTCCAGCTGGCTATCTCATCTGGCCTACATCCGTGCTCAATTCGAAAGAATTGATAAACAGCATCTCGGGGAGCCACTGACGCTGCTGGTGCGTCTGTCAGAAGCCCAGCACTGGACCCCTATTCTCCTTCTGCAACCTGCATGTGGCTGGCAACCTCCCACGCTGCAGTTTCTCCCTCAGTAAAGCCGCAGGAAGAATGATGCTCAGCCTAAAGTTGGTTTTGGTTTAAAGATGGAATGAAGTAACATTATCTGAACAGCACTTGGCACATGACAAAAAGGCAAGCTAGCTGTTCTGTTTTCTCCATTCTGGTTATAACATGATTGCAAAAAATGAGATTTTTCCTGGACACTGTATTTCAAAAATGGAACTGCTTTGGGTTATTAGGAAAATAACTGATGCCTTCCAGTAAATAAGGATACTAGTAATACTAGTAATAATAATAATAATAATAATAATAATAATAATAATAATAATGCCACATGCTTTCCCAGACGGTGTGACCTGGTACACATGAAATGTGCCCGCCAGCACTTGAAGTCTTGACGCAGGATGCTCAGTGAAGGGCAGTAAGAGACCCCGTTGTGTTCTTGCCTCACCTTGCAATCCTCAGTGGACTTAAATCCTGGAAAGGTGAGCGCCCTGCTCTGAGGTTGTACAGGCTAGGAATCTAGTACTTCACATGCAGTTATGAAACCACACATAATTGTCAACTGTCTGAGGAGTGATTAATGTCATCCAGCTGGCTTTTTCAAAAGGGCGTGAACTGGACAGATGAATAATGCTCACTAAACTAGAGACCTGAGAGGCTCAGAGGAACGGGGCGATTCTACCGATGGGGAGTTTCTGTTGACTCTTGTCATTCTTCCACTCAGGAGGCGGAGCCACCTGCTGGATAAACAGATCCAACCCGCTTATAAGGGGGGGAAAAAGATGTGCCCTCTGTCTTTTAGAGTTACAGCTGGTGGCGAGCAGCTGGACAGTACCGGTGCAGCAGAAGGAATCCAGCATGAGCTCCAAGCCAAAGCCCATAGGGATTATCGGGGCTCCTTTCTCCAAGGGACAGGTGAGTGCGAGCCTGCCTTTGAATGCCTGGAACTTACTGGCAAATGTTTCATTTTAACACTTGCTGGGCATTGCCATCTGGCTGTAAGTTTCCCAGTACCATCTGGTCCCTGGCTGTGTGCACTCAAGTCTTCTCGCCACTGGGTAGCAAGGCGTACCTGAAACCCACTTCCTCTTCTGGCTCCTGACATTTCAGTCTGAGTCATGACTGTGCTAGAGCAAATTCATCTGGGTGGAGATCACCCGCGTCTGCACTGTAGCTTCTTGGCTTGTTGCTGTGGTCCTCGATGTTTTCATTGTCTTCTGAGTACAGAGACTGTGAGAACACACATTGGTCTGTTTACACCGTTAATGCCTCGAGAAACGTAATGGGCTGGTGGCAGACCTTCAGACTTTTTAAAATTTGGATAGCTTAAATAATAGCTTTTGCCAGTTTGTGAAGAATTTATGCTATTTGGAGCTTTGATAATCTTAAGTTAGGGAGCCTTTACATGGCTCTTCAAAGAGAGAGGACAAGTACAGAATACTTCAAGGTGGCACCCCTGTCAGGATGACTGGCTCTATTAATGTCCAGTTGCGTAGACCACCTAAGTGTGAATCATACAAGTACCGGTGCCTAAATGAGCCCTGCCCCACCCCCACCCTGCCCCCAGCTTGGATACACTCATTCTGCTCATTGTAGTGAGACAACGGAACGCCTTAGACTCAACATGGCCTGTGTTTAAAAGGAAGGAGGAAAAAAGTGCAGGTCAAACAAGAGACTCGGTGGGTTCTAACTCCCGCAGTCCCCTTGTTTGTAAATGGGTCTTCCTCCTGCTTTTAGAATCTAGACAGCCTTTTAAATTGTGAAGCCTCAAGGTGAAGGTGCACACTGGCTCTCTGTCAAACCCCAATACAAATGGTGGGAGGTTAGAGGGTGGAGGCCCAGGGGGAGGCTGTCAGTAAACAGCCCTTCACCCTCCCTGGAAACCCCGCCCAAGAACACTCCCAGAGCACCAGAACATGGGGGTATTCCATTGATATATATTCCACATGGGTCTGGGGAAATGGCTCAGTGGTTAAGTACCACTTGCTACTACTCTTCAGAAAGACCAGGGTTCAGTTCCCAGCACCTGCAGCTGCTGTGGTTCACAGCTGCCGACAACTCAAGCTCCAGGAGAGCCATACTCTCTTCTGACCTGTGTGAGCACCCTCCACCCCCTACCCACCCATCCCACACAAAAAACGAAGAAAACCTTTTTTAAAATCCATAGTATGCTCACCTGTTCTTTAGGTTTTAAGGATTTTACTATTCTTTTTAATTGTGTGTATATTCATCTCTGCAAGAACAGCATGCGTTCTAAATGGCCCAGCCATGTCTCCAGCCCTACAGCTACTGTTGGAATGGTTTGTAACACAGACTTGAAAAAGACAAAGAAAAAAAGGAGGGGTGGGGAGAAGGAGGCACACAGAAGAGGAAGGACAGAAGGAAGGAAGGAAGGGAGGGAGGGAGGGAGGGAGGGAGGGAGGGAGGGAGGGAGGGAGGGACTGGGCATAGTAGCTTATGCACTAGGGAGGTAGTGAGTTCAAAGCCAAATTGGATTTCATGGAAACCTTTCTTGGGAAGGAAGAAAGGGAGGGAAGTAGGAAGGGAAGGAGGGAGGGAGGAAGGGAGGGAGGGAGGAAGGGAGGAAGGGAGGAAGGGAGGAAGGGAGGAAGGGAGGAAGGGAGACATACCTTGGCCTCTGGGTTTGAGAGCTGATCGCCACGGTCAAGGCCCTCCTAGGGGATAATATGGAAAAATGCCATGTGCTGCACTGTCCCATTCTTAGAAACTTCCTCTGTCAGAGATTCTCCTTCAACGTGGGTGCGAGTCTGCAGCTCATTGTCTTAAGACTGTAAGGGTAGAAATAGAGTGCCCGGTTGTAAGCCATGTGTCGGAGGGTGGAGCTGCCAGCATGTATGTGCATTTGGCATTCCTAAATGCAGTAGAAGTTTGACATGCTGGAAAAAAGGAGAAGGTCAGAGGGAAGTGGTTAGAAGTTTAGAAAGAGCCCCATTCTCTGCCTCGCCTCATTCCAAGACAGTGAATAAAGATGAGGTAGCAAGCTATTGTTTTCATCGTATGACTGAGTTAATTAAGGCTTGCAATGATTCTCAACGTTCCTAATGCTGTGACCCTTTAATGTGGTTCCTTATGTTGTGGCGACACCCAGCAACAAAATTATTTTGTTGCTACTTCCTAACTTTAATTTTGCTACTGTTAGGAATTGTAGTGTAAATATCTAATATGCGACCCACAAGTAGAAGGCATAGAGTAATCTGCTACTTTACTCATAGCCATGGAACCTTCACTGTGCACTTTCAGACAGGAATGTTGCTTTCAAAGCTTGTGCCCCTGGTCTGCACTGATGCTGATTTAGAAGGCTCAGCTCTATAGCAAATCTTTGCCTTGTGGCCAGTTAGGGGCTAGACATGACCCATTCAATAGTCAGTCTTGCTGATGAAGCAATTTCCAAAGTGGGCAAAGAAATGAAACTATGAGCATACAGCAATTATGAGAAGTTGTTTGTTTTAATCAAAGAAATACAATGGAATGTTAGAAAATGTCATTGTGAGGGGATATGGATGTGGTTGGCAGAAGGGTCACAAGCTTGATGGTACAAAATCCTAAAATCCTAGGTTAGACGCCCCCCCCCCTCCATTAACTGAATATGGTGACACACCCTTGTAATCCCCACACTGAGGAGTTAGAGGGATGAGGATCTGAAGTTCAAGGTCATCTTTAGATATGTAGTGAGTTTGAGGCTAGCCTGGGCTAAATGAGAACATGTATTAACAAGACAAAAAGAAACCCCAATCATTCCACGGAGAAACTTACTAATGGTCATAGCAAATACAGCATCAATTGAGAGGTCTATATAGGGATGCTCTGAAGCCTGGAGAGGAGAATGGGAAAGACCTGTGAGTCATATTAATTGTAGTTTGGGTACCACGATATGTCAGTCCTCCACTGCAACACACAATGCTCCACTGGTAAAAACATTTAGGTTGAAATCTGACAGTAAGACCAAAGGATATGAAACTATAAGTCAATAGAACCCATGATGAGTATAGTTAGGAATCAGGCATAAGAACTTAAGTCCCCAAATCTGTCTTAACAAAATAAAAACAAACAAACAAAAAAACCAAAAACAAAATACCTGGATCTGGTGATGTATGTCTTCCCAGGGCTGGGAAGGTAGAGACAGTTGAAACTCTGGCTCACGGGCTAGCCAGGCCAGCCCACTTGGTTATTCCAGGCTAGTGAGAGAGAGAACCACCACACACACTTGGGGCATTTATTAAAGGGCTAGACAGAGTCTGCCCTATGGATTTTTTTTTTTTTGAGATGGAGTTTCACTATGTAGCATTGGATGGCTTTGAGCTAATACTCTTTGTTCCTCTCTCTTTCTTTATATATATATATATATATATATATATATATATATATATATATATGTATATATATATATATATATATATGGAGCTAAAATCAGGATGGCCTAGATCACATCTGTCTCACCCTTCAAAATGGTGAGATTAAAAGTGTGCACCATTATGCCTGATGGAATGACATCTTGAGTTTGTCTTCTGGTCTGCACACACACAAATATGCATGGTTCACCTACACATTCACACACACACACACACACACACACACAGAGACAGAGACAGAGAGAGACAGGGAGAGGGAGAGAGGAGAGAGAGAGAGAGAACACTGCACTCTGCAACACCAAAACAGAGACGATTTTTAATATTCTTATTACAAAGAAATTATAAGCGTTTAAAGTGCTGGGTATATTACCAGTGTCTACATGGATCTAGACATCATTCTAAACCTCATGAAAATATACACATAGTACACCTCAATTGAAAAATGAGATTTAAAACAATTTATGAGATGTAAAGGAACAGAACCATGTTAGACAAAGTGTTCAAGCGGTAGAAATTTGACACCAGGGTTTGCCTAGCATCCGGGGAGGATCATCTGTCATTTGACCAGAGAAGAAGTATTTGCTTAGTTTAGGGTTACAGTCCCAATCCTTACCATAAACACATATGACTTTTGACACCAATCTCCTGGCCAAGATCAGTTCCTGTGAGTCTTTAAAAAAAATTGTGTGTGTCTTACCGTGTTTGAAATGAAGATCAGAAAGACACAAAAAGTGTTATTTCTTTAGACTTCTATCAGCCACAAGGCTGAAGAATTTTTTTCAGAGAAAGATAGCTAGCTCCCTGGATGTTATCTGAGCAAGGCATGGTTCCTCACATCAGCTTTAAACAGGTCAGAATTTGAAATTACTATGCTGGTCTTCATGGTTTCATGTCTCGGCTGACAATTTTTTGCCTGGTTTCTCCTAAGAGTCCTAAACTAACCTCCTTTTACCAGATAGGGTACTTTATTGTTTTGTTTTTTCTTATTATAAATACTGCTGTTACTCATTCAGATACAGGTCAAGTAGGTTGATTTGCATGGAGGTCTTTTCAGGCCATACTCTTAGCTTGATGATGCCTTTGCCCTAGATTTTCCCTAATAGCAACGTTTCTCCATCACCCGGTCACCTTTCCTGACCATCTACTGGTGTTGCAAGACCCAGCCCAAAGATCATATGTTGTAGCCAGCATTTATGGCGCACCCTGTTCCAGACTCAATTAAAAGCATCCTGTTTTCGTATCAGTATTGAAACAATCACCTGTGTTCAAAAGTTGTGACTGAATGTTCAAATTTAACCGTTTTACACAGAACTTGTGTTTATTCTGTGGACAGCATAGCATGCTGGGAAGAGGCAAGCATGGTTTGGAATTCCAAGACCAATTTACAAAGCTAGTTCCATCACTCGTTTGCTATTTGCCAGGATTAAAATGACTCTGGTCCTAGTCCCTTGTGTTTGGCATAGGTGCAATTCTTTCCACAATAGCGTGAAGATTAGGTGGGAAAATGGAAGGTCCTGGATGTGTGGGAGCTGAAAAACTGATGGTTAATGATTCAGTCGATAAAATAAGGCGGGATTTTCTCTTGTGGACACTGGGTAGTTGAAGTCATGACTGAAGTGCTGTTCTTTTTGCATTGTCCAGCCTCGAGGAGGGGTAGAGAAAGGCCCCAAGGCACTGAGGAATGCTGGTCTGGTGGAGAAACTTAAAGAGACAGGTAATTTTAAGGTTGAAAGATGATCAGGTAACATCCCCCTCACCCTGAAGGAAGGAGAGGCTTCTAAGGAAGGATGGTATATCCACAGTGACACTACTGAATCAGGTTTTTTTTTTTTTTTTTTTTTTTTTTTAATCATTAGAACCATGTTCAATGGAAGTAGGGCCTGGCAAGTATGCCCATTTCCTTACTTGGTTTGATTTTTCTGGCCAAAGTATTGTACAAAAAGATGTATGATACAAGAAAAAGGTTTGGGTGGATAATAAGGGAGCTGGGGGGATTGAAAATGAAAAATAAAAGCTGCAAGAAATACATCTTAAAATATATTGCAAGAGGATCCCTACTTGTGAAAGTAAAACGAAACAGTAATAATAACAGAAACAATAACTGCAGCTAGTGTGCATGCGTGTGGACATGCATGTGGCGAAGCGCTGGTGAGGTGGGGACAACTAGAACCTGCATGCATTTCCATCGAAAAGTAAAACGACACAATCAATTTAGAAAGCATCTGATAGTTTGGTCAACATACAAGACCTGCACTTGAACAAGTAACAGCAGCATAATAATAAACGATGGAAACAAAGAAGTACGCCAACTGATTAACGGGTAAAATAAAGTGGTGTATCCACGCAGGGGCAACGCAAGGATCAGACTGCAGCACAGACAACGTCACTGATGGGTCTCAGCAATAGCATGCTAAGTGAGAGAGGCTGGACACGGATGACCACATGACTCAGTTTGTGCGAGGTTCTAGGAAGACCGAAACATAAATAAATAATCAACAGTCGTTGGGGGTTGGGACAGGCATTGCCTATGGAGGAACGGAAGTGTTTACTTGATGGTGTAAACAAGATTGTAGCTATTTCCCATACTTGATGGCCTGTACATTCAGAATGATGAGTTTTAATGGATAAACATTGCTTCATCAAGCTGGAAAGGAAGTGAGGACGTGAATGGAGCTAGGGCATGAAGGGGTATGGAAGGAGGCGGGGAGGAAGAAGAGGAAGGGAGAAGGGAGGGAGGCAGGGATGGAGGGAAGACGTAGGAGGGCTCACTCATTGGAGAACAGAAAGCCCAAGGATGTTGCCTTGTCCTTAGTAACTAGAATAAATGATTACATATTGTAACAGGTGAAAGGTCTTGAATGTGCTGCTAAATTTTAAGTACACAGAGATATAATGAATACTTCGGCAATGGCTAGTTCAGAACACTGAGCAGGTCCTGTATCACAGAGCTACGGGATGCTCTGCCGTTTAGAAACTCATGTCAGGGTTTTTACAACATTAGATTTCCTGCACTTTTTTTAAATGTGAAAAAGGGTAACAGCAAAGCTTGCATTTCCTGGACTCTCTGATCTGGGAGGTTTGGTGCTAATCACACACAGCATTTACATTTTCAGCACACACGGTGGGTAAGGTATGGGAAGTGGGTGTGGGTTCCAGCGCGTGACAAAGTGGGTGGAAACCAGGACACTTGAAGTGGGGTCAGGACCTTAGAAAATGCTAGCTAGTGCATCTCATTGCTGAATGTTAATAATTCCGACGTATTTTATTTGAGATATATAAAATACTTATTTAAAAACCAAACATGCTTATTACAGAAAGACCAAAAGCATTTAACATACATGTATACACACACATGCATGGGGGGGGTTGGGGCTGAGGGGCAGAGCATGGAACAAGATGCTGTTCCCTATTGGATCAAGACCACAAAGTTCTCCTTGTTGTTTTTCAGCATCCATCTCCATGGATCGATTCAGGAAATAGGGAGGCCCTGGTACTTGGCAAACACCAGAGTGAGATGATAGCTAGAGGGCCGTTTTGCAATCTGTTTCCATTTAGTAACATCAAATTTTTAATTGCAGAGTATGATGTGAAAGACTATGGGGACCTGGCCTTTGCTGATGTCCCTAATGACAGCTCCTTTCAAATTGTGAAGAACCCAAGATCTGTGGGAAAAGCCAATGAGCAGCTGGCTGCTGTGGTGGCAGAGGCCCAGAAGGACGGAAGAGTGACTGTGGTGTTGGGTGGAGACCACAGGTCTTGTGAATGTCTACATTCCTGGGGGTTGGGCACAAAAGACATAAAGAGACCCAAGAAAAGGGAAATGCAGACAAGAAAGCATTGAAGGACATTTTGTATGTTTTGCCTTTAGAGATGCTGTACGGGTTAGTCTATTATGGAAACACAGACCAAGCTCTACTTGAAGTCTTTAAATATCTTTATCCATTATGCCACCTGTGCATTTAAGCATAGCCTTAAGTTTTATATTGATTAGCCACTGGGCAAAGCCATAGTTTATTTGACTTGATTCCTGGCGATACAGGTGAACAATTTAGAAATGTGTGCTTTCCATTATAAAAGTACTCTAAAACTTCTAAAAGAACATGCATGGACACGTGGCCAGTTTAACAATTATTTTTGTGCCATTTCTCAAGTTCTGTTCTACACCAAGTTTAGATTTCCTTATGTGTCTACCTAGGATGTACAAAAGTATTATTTTTGCCTCCTGAACAATTTTCATCATGGAATGATGCTACTGTGTGTACCTACACCCATACCCACACCCATTATCCATTATCTATATGCATATTCATATTGCAGACATTAGTGTTACATTTTCCAAAACAAAGAGCAGTTTTGTGCCTGGAGCCAGTTGACTGTTGTCGTGCCCTGATGAGCTGGAGTGAGTGAGGACAGTCCCCTCCTGCACTCATCACCTCACTGGCACCTGGGAACTGGGCTTCTATGACAAAGCTGCAGTTTCAACTGGGCTTGCTTCCCCCCCTTAGAGTTCTAAGTGGAGACCCTGGAAGTCGGGATGTTAAGAGTACAGTAACAGCAGACTGAATAAGCCAAATGAATAAGCAATACTTGGGCATGAGGGCATGGATCCTTTTCACTTTTAGAATATGGATGCTCATGGCACTGAGTGGTATTTACATGTTTACAAGTGTGATGGCATAGGCATCCTATGTCTGCCCTAGTAAAGCCTTCTGTGCAAGGTATCACTTAGCTCTCCCATGCTGGCCTAATGGCGAGTCACGAGGAGTTGGGGATGGGTTTTTGTCTCTTGAGCTGATGAGAAAGGGGCCTTGAGCGGAGAGAGGAGTAGGCAGCTAAAGTAGAGGAGCTGAGGACTGATCGGACAGACAGACACTGGCTGTAGGGAACAAATGAACTTCCTAGCGATTCTCCCTGATTATAAGAGTGCTGACTTTTGACAAAGAGATGAAAGACTGTTATAATTGAACACAAAGAGCACTTCACACGAGAGCCCCAAAAAGGAGCCAGTTCAACCCTAAGGACTAAAGAGAGTCCGTATCTCTCTTAGTGACGCCATCAAGGTAACTAACTGGTGACAGCTACCCCTTCTCTATTGTTTCAGTGGTTTAATCAACACCCTTAAGGTCTATGCAGAGGCTAAATGGACTTAAAGGCACAGTATATGAGCTAACAATATGATGTGTGTGACGACATTGTAAGCTTGATGTTAACACAGACTTTCCTCCCTCGCCTGCAGTATGGCAGTTGGAAGCATCTCTGGCCATGCCAGGGTCCACCCTGACCTATGTGTCATTTGGGTGGATGCTCACACCGATATCAACACTCCACTGACAACCAACTCTGGGAATTTGCATGGACAACCTGTGTCTTTTCTCCTGAAGGAACTGAAAGGAAAGGTAAGATGCTCCTTAGCTGATATGAAAGAACTCTGTAGTAGTTTAGGAGGTAGAAAGCAAACAGGAGTGCCTTCCTGCCTTTTATTCAAGCTATCCTCTCTGTAGTAAATAAACAAAAGGCAAGTTGATAAAGGTAGGAAGGCTCTCACTAGACAGATTGCAAACCAATTCCATCTGGAGTTATCCCTCTGTATCCATGAGTGGTTGCTGACTTCACAGATAACAAACAATAACACATGTTGCACATAACGTATGTGGGTCCTCTCAAATACTTCAGACCAGCTCTAGATCATTTATATTACCAAATGCAATATAAATGTTATGGAAACAGAGTTCCAATGGTATTGTCTAGGGGGAAAGCTTGTATATGTTCAATGCAGACCAAACCAGTGCAGGCTTAAATACATCCTCAATCCATGGCTGGTCAATCTGTGGCTGGTCAATCTGTGACTGGTCAATCCGTGGCTGGTCAATCTGTGACTGGTCAATCCGTGGCTGGTGGAAACATGTATGTAAAGGGCTAACTGCTATTTGGATTCGTTCTTTTTTGGGGGGGTGGAGGTGGGGGATTCCAAGACAGGGTTTCTCTATGTAACATACCTGGAACTTGCTTTGTGGACTAGGCTGGCCTCAAACTCCCCAGTGCTGGGATTAAAGGAGTGCTCCACCATACCTTGTCTCTTTGGCTTCTTAAACTACCTTTCTGAGGAGATGGGCAAACTAACGCTTTCTAAACAGGTCTGCAGAGATTCAGAGGATAGACAACTTGCCCAGAATCATGCCCAGTTATTATAACGCAAGGCAAACAGGTCTCCTAGCTCGTACCTCTATCTGCATGTTACAGGTTTTTCCTTTTTTACTAAATGATTCCTTCACATCAGAGCCTAGTCAGAAGAGCATGCAGAAGCCATGCAGCATGCAGATTACTTTTTTTTTTTTTTTTTTTTTTTTTGGCAATAGAGTCTTGCTAGGTGGTTGAGGCTAGGCTTGAACTTGAACTTTCTGCCTGCCTTCTGTGTGCTAAGACAGGAATGTGCCAGTATGCCTGGGTTTCGGTGGCTTCAGATCTCTACTTTGAGAAGCATTCATCTGAGCCTCAAAAGAAAGAACCCCTCCCCATTCCTGAGAAACTTCTTTAAAATTCCGGATTAGGTCCTTTTGAGAAAGGGAAGGAAAGATGGGAGCTACTAAAGTGGAAGAAGCACACATTCCTTGGTCTTAGAGTCCTGGGAAAGAATCTGAGCACTGCAGAAATGGGGCGCGGGGCATGACACTACCGACAAGAGCCCACAGTGAAGCTAGGCTACAGGGCAAAGCTGTTGAGGCCAAAGCAATCAAGAGTATACAAAGGGAGGCAGGTACCCTTCCTAATTTCACACTATTTTAAAGTCACTTCTAAATCTATCCTCTAAATGTTAGATATATTCAACCAAGGGTGCTCAACATTAAATGCAAATCTCTACAAGAGAAATATATTTGTCTAAAAGGAAATGCTGTTGTCTTAGTTCCCTGATGTACCAGGATTCTCCTGGGTGACTCCCTGCATATCTGCCAAGGATATAGTGTACATCGGCTTGCGAGATGTGGACCCCGGGGAACAGTAAGTTTAATTCATGTTCTTTTTTATATGCTAGGTATACTTTACTGGTCAAATCTTAAGAGGGTATTTTAAATTGTCACTATGTATACATGTATATGTATACAACTACATAAGCACATGCATGTATTTCCACTTATACACATAGGTATTACTCAGGCAATTTATAAAGATTTAGACTTAAAATACAACTATGTGCATATATAACAGTTCACAGGACTTATTATAGTAATCTTTCCACCAAAGAGAACATAAGAAAAATCAGCCTTATTAACTGGAGATTAACTTAAATCTGTTCTTTTATAGCTATATTATAAAAACTCTGGGAATTAAGTATTTCTCAATGACTGAAGTGGATAAACTGGGAATTGGCAAGGTGATGGAAGAGACATTCAGCTATCTACTAGGAAGGTATGGAGCTTTTGTGTGCATGTGTGTAGCCAAGGCCTCCTACTGAGTCTTATCTGCACATGTGGTTAAAAAAGTTTAGGGCTAAAGGGATTTTCATGAGTTGTTTTTATAAAGCAGGATAAGACCTATCTTTGCTTACTGACTCCTAAACTAGCACTCTTAACAGAAAGCCTTTCTTATTTCTTAAAAGAAAGAAAAGGTCCATCCACCTGAGTTTTGATGTTGATGGACTGGACCCAGCGTTCACACCAGCTACTGGCACACCTGTCGTTGGAGGCCTATCTTATAGAGAAGGTCTCTACATCACAGAAGAAGTTTACAGGACAGGTAGGGAAAAGAGACAGTGAAGACACAGCTGTACACTTGGCTACTGTGTAAGTGGGCCTCTCTGACCTAAAAGCAAGCTTGTTGGTACTTCCAGGATGCCCATCACGTGATGTAATACATGTGTTTTCTGTTGGTTCCCATCTCTTCTCCACTAGATATATATTTTGGAACCAGTTGTCACAGATTTTAAAATGTCACTTACTTTCATCAACTATATCAACTCTATTTTTTGTTGTAGGGCTACTCTCGGGACTGGATATCATGGAAGTAAACCCAACTCTGGGGAAGACACCAGAAGAGGTGACTCGTACAGTGAACACAGCTGTAGCATTGACCTTGTCTTGCTTTGGGACTTCTCGGGAGGGTAATCACAAGCCAGGGGTTGACTACCTTAACCCACCTAAGTAAATGTGGATGTGTCACATGAAAGCTGATACATGAAAGCAAATCCAGTAGACCAAAGCAAGTTCTCCAAGAGCTCCTTCTTTCAGGAATTTTCCCCCAGTAAGGATTCCACCAATACCTTTATGGTATGAAACTCAGGGTGTAGAAATTTGAACAGCTATGAAATTAGGACATACAGAAATTAGGACATATGTATTCCTACTTTAAGCAGAAGTTTACCCTTAAAAAGCAGTATAAATTAATTCCCAATTAAAGATGCTCCAGCATTTAAAATACACATCGATGTAAGTGCCAATTCACTAGAGTGGGCCTTAGGACAGTTGTGAACAAAGATGTCCAAAGGGAGTTAGGTAACTGTGTACATGTTGTTCAAAAGATGTGATTTTTTTGTAATAAATTCATTATAAAATTCTGTTGTCTACATCTTTCCAAATACATGCACCATATTTACTCATGTTTATAATGTACCACACATGTACATAACACACACACACACACACACACACACACACACACACACACCCTTCTTAAAATCATTGTAAAGATTCCTACAAGGCATAGAGATAATCATCCCTAAAATAGCGTTAAGTCTTTGAAACCACTGGAAGTTGGTTTTTGGGACTGGCGCGATGGCTCAGGGGTTGAACACTGACTGTTCTTCCAGAGTACCCAGGTTCAATTCCCAGCACCCACATGGCCATTCACAATGGTCTGTAAGTCCAGTTCCAGGGGACCTAACACCCTTGGCAAAACACCAATGCACTTAAAATTAAGAAAAAAAAAAAAAAAAAAAGCAAGAAAATAAAAAATGAAAAGAGTTGGTTTATCTTACCTGTAAAATGGATAACCACGGGCTTAGGCAATTTCCAAGCTCACTGGTAGTAGACACTTTCTTTTTCTAAGCAAATACAACATTGATATTTTAATACCTGTTGTGCAGGTACCAGCAAAGAAGGGATTCACAAACATCTACGCAGGACCCAGAGAAATCACTGGTTGTTTTTGTTTTTCCAAGAGCTACTACTACATATTGGGAGTGCCACTGACATCGCCTAGGCTTTGAGAAGAAAAGACCAGCCTCTCAACTCTGCAACGGCAGCATGCCTGATTAGCTAAAACTCTCAGGCATTCTAGAAACTCACCTTGGCTTTTACATAAGCTGAGCAAAGAGGGAACACAAATGAAAATGTAGTGTCATAGTCAGAACATGTGCAGCCATGTCTGTTTGCCTTCACTTACATGCACGTAGCAACTGCAGGGAACTCTGTAATGCAATCAGCTACACAAAGGGACTTTTATTGTTTTAGCAGCTATGGGTTAGTAAGGCATGACCATCTATTTTTCACATGTACTCCTAGAGTTTAAGCCTAATTATTGCTTCTATGGCCTTCAAAATAAGTTTTACTGACTTAATTGTAGATAATTACAAGGCACCTTTAAAGTATCGTGTACAATATAGTAGACCCATACAGTTATTTACACTAAAGCTTAAGAAAAATTTAAAATTCAGTTCCACATGCAGCTATTAACCATACAGCAGAGGAGTTGTTTCCATCACTGGAGTGGTGCTGGGCGGTCAGTTATCCCTTGAAAATGAGCACCCAAGCCATATTTTAAGATATAATCATGTAGTTATTTCCTTTCCCCAGTTATACATCCAAAATGTCTGCTCCTATTAATGTCTCTAATAAATCTAAAACTCCTGAGAAAAAGTCATATTTTTAAGCTAGACAGGGAAAAACTGAATTTTTAACTAATTTAATAGTATGTGTACACCCTTGAGAAAGTGGTAAGATTGCATTTCGTTCTTCTGTTCAATATCAAATATATACAGTAATATAAATGCCAGGGTCAAATGTTCCCACCCTAGGATCTCCTTGAGGTACAAAGAATATACTGAGGCCATGTTAAGAAAAACATTTCGAATCATTCCTACTATAAAATTTCTGAAGATTAAGAATATTTATTAGCCTAGAAACATTAATGGCACTGTTATGTATTTTAAGATAGCCACACATGGCAAATAAAGATTTAGTGATTGCAAGGACATAAATTACAAAAATAAAGGTCTAGGAGGGACATACTTCATAGTAAGGATCTGAAGTGTAGCTAATCTACCATCATAATTTATTTATTTTTTAAAGAAAGAATACTCAAGATTGCCAGGTGAACATGCTACAGCACTCTGAGTGCAGACACGAAGGGCAGCCCAGGAGTTCCCAGCAGGTGCTCACACTATGTCATTACAGAGATCACACAGTTTGTTCATTCCACTTTACTGGCTTTCAAGGTTTTCAAAATGCCATTTCCCTTTAAACTAGTACCTGAAAAAAAAAAAAAAAAAATCACACAAACCTTAAAGAGCTAAAATGTATACTAGTTTTAAAACTTGGGAGGCTATTTATTAAAACCCAGAGAAGCTGAAGAGTCCTATCTTCTGCCAGGTGAGTATGAACCTGAAAAAGCAGCCACAAACAGACCAGGGAATCAAACATTTGAGAATGGCTTTATTGAAACTGGTACAACTCAGGTGTTATTTTCTTGCATGGTTTCTGAGTCATTTTACACAAAAAGTTCAGAGCAAGGGCAAAACCCTCATCTACTTTGGTAGAAACTTTACATCATTTATTTGGAAATACTTGCAAATTGAAAATTTACAATAAAAATTTACAGCCACTTACAAAACAATATAAAACCTCATTTGTTCTTGTGAATATAAGGCCCTTTCACTAATAAAAGGCTCTATTCTGAAGACACAGCAAAGGACACTTGCATAAAAAAGGGTTTGTAATGTCCATTTTACATTTGCTGTGTCTTTAAGTTAATGTACATGAAATGTGAAGATGTCACGTACAATAATTTAAAAAAATGGCTGAAACAAGAAATCTGAGTGTCTGGTAAAAGCCACTTAGAGAGGCCCCTTTTTCCTAGGGCCTCCAAATAAATTGTTTTGAATATGACCAACATGTAGCTTATTTAGTCTCTTAGAGACAAAAATAACAACAGGGAGAAGGAAATTATAAGGTGTCAAGAGATCCAATATTTGAATCAAAGTAAACCAATCTGAACTTGGTGGCTGCTCTTGTCACATCAGCACAGTGCACTGTGTTCAGATTTAGGAGTCACTTTTGCAGGCGATGCGTTCTTCCGCACCACGGCATCTCCGGCCTCACTGAGTTACGGGTAGAGACGTTGGCACCTGACTAGACTGAGGTGCTGGAGAGCCACTATTGAGGGCTTGGGGAGGCACTGCTGGCTCCATCTTGCTAATATGTGTGATGAATCGAAGACGAAGCTTTAAAGCTGGCTTTAAATTACAGATAATCTTCTCCACCTGAGAAATGAGAATACAATTAAGAAAAAGAAATGGAACAGTTTCACTTTTACAGAAGTGACTTCCAGTTTTCAACAGCACACCATACATAGAGGGGGGTTGGCAGATGGGAAGAAAAAACCAAGGAAATGTATCAGTTCAGGCTTCCCAAGGCCAAGTTCTCAGCACAAAGGAGATTCATTTGCCCCAGAGGGACAGAGGGCAGGGAACAAGGGACAAAGACAAGAGACAGACGGTGAGAGAGAAGAAGGGGACAAGGAAGAGGGAGCAGGAGTTATTTGTCTCAGAGGACAAAGGACTGCCTCTGGATAGAGAGGAGACAGACATAGCACGTAGGAAAATGACAGTTTGTAAAGATACAAGGGGAAACCCTGGGTTAGGATGTGGTGTTTAATTTTAATTGGGCATGTTAATTAGGTGAACCAAAGAGAACTTGTGGTTGCTGGACTTCAATTCTTTGATAGCTGGACTTTAGAAGTCAGCCTCGGGAGGAGTATGAAGACAAGTAAGAAACAGACCTTGGTGGCCAGCATTAGGAATGTATCTAATGGTTTTTAGCAAGGCAGAGGGAATGGGGGAGAAGGGCAAGGCCTGACTGAGCCACTCCTGCCACGCTCTAGCTGGCCAGAGACCCTTCAGGAACGTTTACAAAAAACAGATACAAGTTTTCTTACGCAGGTAGGCATATGTATTCTCCCTCCCATGTGCAATGTATATGTACATGTGGTGTGTACACATCTGTCTATGCATGAACTTCAAGAACTTACCATCCATCTACCCACCCAGTTATCCTGCTAGCCACAATTAGAACTGTTCCCATTGGAAGCTGTAAACATCTAACAACTCCGCCATCCTTCCCAAATGCTATGCTAGCACAAGCAGGAAGAACACGTAGATCTTAACATTTACGACATTTATCTCAAAGCCGCTTTCTTGACTGCACACTTGGGTTCATCACACACATTACACAGAACCAGCGGCGCCTGCACAGTATCAGGTGCTTCTAGAGTTTTTTAGATGAGCGCAAGGTCTCCCAGCTGTCTTAGCTTTTCTGTTCTTTGATCTTAGGAGGAAGAATCATGCTGCAAGCAATGTTTTCTTCTGCTTTAAACCCCTGTCAAAGTTTAGGCCCAAATACGAAGAACACATCTTGGTTTTAAAAAGCATTCATCAGTCCTCCCATTTTTTGTGACTTAACAGAAGCAGACACTAAAAAAAAAAGCCTGCTTCCCTCCCTCCCTCCCTCCCTCCCTCCCTCCCTCCCTCCCTCCCTCCCTCCCTCCCTCCCTCCCTCCCTCCCTCCCTCCCAGGGAAACTCTTATCCCCAACATTGTTGTGAAGGCATAAAGTCGCCCATGCTATTGCAGTCTCAGCTCCAAAGAGTGAGCCCTGCAGAGCAGCGTGCATAAGCCGACACAGCAATTACCATCCTCCCCGACAGAGGGCTGTATGTGCTCAGAGAACCACAAACTCAAGTGTGGAAAGGGTACAAGGAAACCCGTGGCTCTCTACTGCTCATAGAGCTGATTACAAGAAAAATACAACAGAACTAACCCTGACAACTGCTCCGCCCGAAGGGAGGGCACAGCAGTCGAGCACTGAGAAGGGGCTGTGCTCTTTACCTGTCTGCCACACTGACACCCCAAAACTACTCAGATGGTTTCCCGCACATGGGGAGCACATGTATGACCAAGGGGATCTTTCCCACTTTCAGCCAGCTCTAGCAGGAAGTGCCTCTTCATACGTTGAGTTGAGTTTGTGTGCATCCCTTCCAATTAAACAAAGACCTCATCTGTGTCATGTGATTCCACGTGGAACCCTCCAAATGGTGGGGAACACTTCCCTGGGGTTTTGTTCTTCAGACTGAGAACCCTCATGCTCTACAGAAACTCCGCACGACAATCTTTTGACCAGCCCGGCTTGACTTCTAGCGGTGCCACTGTGTTCAAAGTCCCACAGTGTGTGCGCCCTAATCAGCAGGGAAGGCAGCCCCTTCACTGAGAACACACGCCCTCTTGTAAACACACCACACTGTTTCCTCACACGAGACCACTCTTGAATGCCTTAAGGTTTTTCAG